TGAGCCACCGTGCCCGGCCTTAAAATAATTTTTAATAAAAATAAATATGGGCCGGACATGGTGGCTCATACCTATCATCCCAACACAGGAGACCAAGGCAGGTGGATGATGTAAGCTCAGGAGTTCAAGATCCGTCCAGGCGACAGGTGAAACCCCATCTCTACCAAAAATACAAAAAAAATTAGCTGGGCATGGAGTTGCACACCTGTATTCCCAGCTACTCTGGAGGCTGAGGTGGGGAGGATCAGTTGAGCCCTGATTGAACAGCTGCACTCCAACCTGGGCAGCAGAGCAAGATGCTATCTCAGTAAATACTCAACAATTTAAATACAAAGTGAACAACTCAAAAAGAACCTCACCGTTGAACCCTTTCTCTCCCCACCTGCCACGTTTTCCTTCCCCTTCTTGCCACTGCTAACACTGGTGGTTGTCCTGTAAAACATTTCCCTATGCAAAAAAAAAACTTGTGCACACACAGTGGAATGCAATGCAATTATTCTGAAATTTTTATTTTTCACTTAATGCAATCTAGTGAGCTCCCATCTCTAAATACATCCATTTCAATCTGTACTATCATTTTTAATAGACATTGTACAACATATGAGAATTGCTGTAATCATTAACCAGTTATGAACATTTTAGTTGTTAGTATTGCCTGCAATTGCAGATAGTATTGCAGGGTATATTTCTAAGTAGAATAGATTCCCAAAAGCAAAATATCTAGGTTAAAGATTACGCTTCTTTGATTTGGTATGTCAAATTTTCCAAATGTGTATTTCCACCAACTATGCATTAAAGGAGCCAATTTTCCTCACATCCTCAAAAGCATTGTATATATTCCCTTATTGTTACCAGTCTGATCAACAATCAGTGGAGTTATTTTACTTTGCATATCTTAATTGCTAGTAAGGTATGAGCAATTTTTCACATATTAGTCAAATACGTGTTAGGCATCTAGGGTTTGTTTGCCAAATGAATAGCCAATTCCTATGTTATCTTCTGTTACAGGAACTAACCTTTCTCCAGAATTTGAAATCTAACCTGTGTGGGTGTGTACATATATGTATATACATACATGCGTATGTGTTTCTGAAATTATCCACCTATCCCTGTGCCATATGTTTTTGATTACTGTAGTTTTCATCATGTGTTGACAGTTGTGAATTCCCCATTCTCTTATTAAATTCTTTGGTATTTAATTTTCAGGTGAGGAAATGTGATGTCTTCACAACATTGAATCTTCCTCTCCAAGGACTTGATATGTCCTTCCAGTATTCTGATCATTTGTTTTTCAGTAAAGTATCATTTATTTGTATAGATCTTGCATTTTTTTTTTTTTTTGCCAATTTTATTGCTTCATATTTCCCACTTTTTGGTAAATTTTCTTTTCTTTTTTTATTTTTTTCTTTTAGAGACAGAGTCTTGCTCTGTCTCCCAGGCTGGAGTGCAGTGGCACAATCTTGGCTCACTACAACTTCAACCTCCCAGGCTCAAGCAATTCTCCTGCCTCAGACTCCAGAGCAGCTGGGATTACAGGCACCCACCACCATGCCCGGCTAATTTTTGTATTTTTAGTAGAGATGGGATTTCACCATGTTTGCCAGGCTGGTCTCGAACTCCCGACCTCAAGTGATCCACTCACCTCAGCCTCCCAAAGTGTCGGGATTAGAGGCATGAGCTACCATCCCCAGCCAGATTTTGAGTAGAATCTTTTTTGTTAAATTTTGTAATTAATATATTGTCTATATAAGAATGCTTTTGAGTAGCCAGGCGCAGTGGTTCACACCTGTAATCCCAGCACTTTGGGAGGCTGAAGCGGGAATATCACCTGAGGTCAGGAGTTCGAGACCAGCCTGACCAGTGAAACCCTGTCTCTACTAAAAATACAAAAATTATAGTGGTGGCACACGCCTGTAATCCCAGCTATGCGGGAGGCTGAGGCAGGAGAGTCTCTTGAACCTGGGAGATGGAGGTGGCAGTGAGCCAAGATTGTACCACTGTACTCCATCTGGGTGACAGAGCAAGACTCTGTCTCTAATTTTTGTTTGTTTCCCCCTCCCTCCCCACCACAGCTTTTAATTGATACACTTTGATTTTCTAAAAAAGCAGTCATGACATCTGCACATGAGTTTTTCCCTTTGCCCGATATATAAGCCTCTTAATTTTTACCCTTTTCCTATTGCATTGGTTAGGACAGCCAGGAATGTTGTAATAACAGCACTTGTTCCTTTTTGTTTTGCAGTGAAAGTTTAGAAGCATTTCTATTAAGTGTTATTGTAGCTCACATCAAAATTAAGATATTGTCTCTCTTTTCTATTTTTTTTATTTTACGCTTCCTCATATCATGGGGTTCTACTTTTTTATTTAATGTAGGAAAGTCTAAATTACTTTAAAAATTTCAAATTATTTAACTCTATCTGTGTTCCTTTAATTAAATCTGACTGTATTATGACATATTAAATAGTTCACAGTGGATTTCATTTGATAAACGTACTTTGTTTTGTTTAGTTTATGTTTGCTTTTTGTGTACCTTGCCTGGTTTTGGCATCCAAGTTAAGGTATTCTGGTAGAATGCTTTAGTAATTCTTTCATTTTTTTTTCTCCCCTTCCCCCTTTCTTTTTATAATTTTCATTTCTTCCAAAGTCAGGAAAATTGAAAAGGAAAAAATATATATGTATAATTTTCATTTCACGTGTACATATGCAATATATAATGTTGAGATTTGGGCTTCTATTGATCCCACCACCCAAATAGTGAATATAGTACTCAGCAGATAGTTCTGTATCCTAAATAACACTGGCAATGTCTGTTGACTGAACCCTTGGTGGAACAGCATTAAGATTGGGCCTGGTAACTTTCTGAGCAAGATGCTTTGATTGCAGCTCTTTTTTTTTTTTTTTTTTTTTTGTTGAGACAAGGTCTTGCTCTGTCACCCAGGCTAGAGTACAGTGGTGCAGTCACAACTCACTGCAGCCTCAACCTCCTAGGCACAAGCAGCTCTCCCACCTCAGCCTCCAGAGTAGCTGGGACCACAGGCACGTGCCACCATGTCCAGCTAACTGCTAATTTTTTTGGGCGGAGGGTAGAGACAGGGTCTCACCACGTTGCCCAGGCTAGAAGTGTAGTTTGTTTTTTTTTTTTTTTCCATTT